CCGGCCTCCTCCCTCCCTCGCTGCCTGCAGCTCCTGGCTTTGCCCGGCTCTCTCCGACATTGGGGCCCGCTGGCTTCCTCGCAGTCACCGTGCGTGAGTGTGTGCTAACCGAGGGGGCCGCCCTCAGTTTCCCCGTCTGTCACATGGAGGGTATGGCTCCCAACTTTTGCCCAAGCCTCTCTCAGGGCCTTGAAGAGCCCTGGGGGGCAATGAGTGCCAGAGGATGAGGAACACGCTGCACAATTCCACTCGGGAGCTCAGCTTTGAATTTGCAAACTACTGGGACCTCACTGTACAAGCCGGCAGGGCGCTGAGAATGTTTTTCTTCCAGTTTTTAATCAGTGCCCAGTAGTGTGAATACGGCCTCGCTGCTGAGACTTGACAATGCAATGAGATCAGGAGTTCCCACGGCAACAGGAACTAACTCATCCCAGGGCTCTTTGAGTTATCGGTCGGCCCACATTTCACAAAGGTGATCAGCGTGGGCTCGACAGCTCTGTCTGAAAGCGCACCGTGTATGCACTACCTGGCCGTCCCCCCCTGCCCCCCTCCTTGGATTCAAACCTCTGGAGTATTCCTATTTGCAGAACACGATTGAATGAGCCTGGCTTTTTGTACTGATGAGGGTGTGGTGTGTCTGGGGGTTGGCTGTACGGGGCTTAGGGTCTCTGGGCCAGCTGGTAAATGATTCCCAACTCCTGCCACTTAGTTTCTGCTGCCAGGCTGAGCCTCATTCTGGGAAAGGGAAAGCATTCATTATGGGCTGACACCATGTTGAGCATTATCATAACACTTCTAAGAGGAAGGTGTTAACACACGTTTTATAGATAAGGAAACTGAGGCTTGCAGAGGTGACACTGATTTGTTTAAAATCACACAGCTGGGGTGTGACTGAGCCATGATTTAAACTGGAGTTTGTTTACCGCCAAAGCCTGGGCTTCTCCAGCCATGCCATGCTATCTATCTCCATGGCAAATCTGACTTTACCTACTCAGAGGTCGCCTCTGTGTAGGGAGCAAAACTTCTCCTACCATACTTTGGTTATTTTGGCGAGAAGATAACCAAACCTACCTTGATTATCGGAGAATTTCCAGGTGATGTTTAATCCGTCAGGGTGCTTTCCTGGGACTACAAGGGATCTTCTGTGCTGGGAGGCCTGGGTAAGGAGAGCATCCACTATTGTGCCCTCTTTGGTGATTCTGTGAGATTCATTTCTTTATTCAGTCATCACAGTGTTTATCATAGTCCCCGTCTTATAAGGGAGGCACTCCTTTGGGCTCTAGGCATGATAGGTAAAGGACCTTTTTATTCTCACACTGCTTCATACAGACTTCGAGCACTCTCAGGTCCTTTGCTCCATGCCTTTCTGATCTCTAGCATCCCTTCTCCAGCCCAGCCCTGGCTCTAGAGCAGAGATTTTTCAACCTTTTCATCCCATGGCACACATAAACTAATTACTAAAATTCTGTGGCACACCAAAACATATATTTTTTGCCAAGCTGACAAAAAATAGATATAATTTTGATTCATTCACACCGGAAGGCTATTGTTGTGTTGCCTGTAGCCATATTTTTTACAATAATTCTTTATTGTTGAAAGTATTGCATATGTCCCCTTTTTCCCCCCATTGACCTCCTCCAGCCCCAGCCCCAGGCCTTCACCACCCTATTGTCTGTGTCCACGGGTTATGCATATATGCATACAAGGTCTTTGGTTGATTACCTCCTACCCATCTCCCATCCTCCCCCTCTTTCACCCCCATCTTCTGTAGTCATATTTTTATTTAACAATCTAAGGGAAAAGAGTAAATAGTCAGGTATTGCATGTTTTAAAAATTCTTGTGGCTCACTGGTTGAAAATTGCTGCTCTAGAGTGTCAAGGTGACGTGAACCTGAGATATCAAGGGTTAGGGCAGTCAAGACAAAGGAATTTAGATCTGTATCCACAAAATCAAGTGGGGCACCACAACATGATCACATCTGTAGCAAAAGCACAGGAAATTGGAGAGATGGGCCAGGCCACAGACCAATGTTTCTCAAACTCCATGCTCAGTCCTGCTGGGATAGTAACTTTCCTATTGAGTTAGGTCTTTCTAGGACTACTCTGTTTTGGAGTTGGAATAGCTCCTTGCCTCAGACCTTCAACAAGCAGGAGCTGGACCCCAAGTGCATATTCTTACTGCCCTAGCACACTCACGGGATTGATCTTTGTTGATGCTGATCAATCAAGGGGACTCTTAAGACAGGAAAACACTTTAGGCTATGGTTTCCTATCCTGCCTTTGCCCCTTTTTTGCTACTTAAAAAATACCTTGATCTCTCTGAGCCTTGAGTTTCTTGATCTGTTAAAATGGATAATGCACCCGATCTACAGGATATTGAATTAAATGAGCTACCTTGTGTAAGGTATTTGGCTCTGAGCCTAACACAATTGAAGTTCTAAATTATATTAATTCTCAACTGTGCCCCCCTCCCTAATCTGCATTCATGAGCTTCCCCCCAGGGTCAGTGTCCCTGAGAAAGTTCTTCCTGGCCCTGCAGTGGGGAACCTTTCCTTCCTTGGCTAACTCCCCCTTCCCCTAATCCCAATCCTTCTGATCTCTGAGTGGCTACCCCTGCTTCTGCTGTTGCATCCAGGGAGGGGCTGGAAGGAAGAGTCCCTTGTTTTGACCCCTTCCTGCTTCAGTGACAGGAGGGCTGCAGAGAGGGATTAGTGAGCTAATTAGAAATGATTGCATCTCTCAGCATTAATTAGCAGTGCTGTGGGCTTGCGGTGTGCACTTTGGAATTGAGCCCCCTGCGGGACAGCATGGCAGGCAGCCCTCTGCCTCGGGGGCCTGCCAGCCCCTCTGCACTGATTAGAAATGATGGAACAGTTTTGGGTAGGCACAGTCAGGGCTACCCTCTCAAGGTACTGTGGCTTTCTGACTCAAACTCTCTATATCTTTATGACTGGGCCTCGGTCTCCTCTTCTGTAAAATGGGACCAGTGGCCATGAGAGAATTCCTTCCTGGGATGATTCTAGGCTCTTGGCCCAGGAACAAAGTGGATTTTACCTGATGAGTGAAATCATCAGGCCCCCTGAGGGACTTTGGATTCTAACCAAGAGATGTTCTCTAAAGTTGTATATCTTGACACCAAAAGAGCCCATGGTCTTTGGCCTTCTAGGGAGACACCTAGCAACGTGGAGTGTCTTTGCTCATTGCACTTCTTGAATTCTGCCGGTACGGAGGTATAGGTTGAGCTTGAGTCAGCTGTGATGAGTAGCACTTTGCTGGCCTAGCTCCAGTCTCCTCCCCAGGTGCTCTTGGCAAGTGCCAGTCCCCAAAGGAGAAGAAGGTGCTGCACAATGAGGGCCAGATCAGGCACTGAACAAAGGGGCTAATGGCTGGCAGGAGGTCAGGATGTATCAGCTGCACTGGGACCCTGGGAGCTACAGTGACCGTCTGCCTGTTCTGTGCTTTGTTTTCGGTTTCTCCATGCAGCTCGGATTGGGAAAATGAAACGGAGGAAGCAAGATGAAGGGCAGGTATGTCCCCTGTGCAGCCGCCCCCTGGCAGGATCGGAGCAGGAGATGAGTAGGCATGTGGAGCATTGCCTTTCTAAGGTAGAGGGGCCATCACCACTTCCCTCCCCCTCCCTTCCCTCGTTTCCCTGATTCTAGTTGCTGTCTGCCTCCAGATCTATGGGCTGTTGGGGTCTTCACGTGGTCTCAGCAGCTTCTTCCTCTCTGTTTTTGCTCTCTTCCTTTGCTTTCACTTTCCCACCCCTCCCCTGGGGCACCAGTGGCAAATGATTGGGAAGAGGCCCAGGTCTTTGACCTCTAGGTTGGTTTACTTCACAGGAGCCCTAGAGCTGGGGTTGGCATACCACAGCGGGGGGGCCAGGGTTATGCCTTCCTTGCAGGCCCTGGGGGGAAACAGGGATGGCCTGAGACCCACATGATCCTGCTCTCCTCTTCACAGAGGGAAGGCTCCTGCATGGCTGAGGAGGATGCTGTGGACATCGAGCATGAGAACAGCAACCGCTTTGAGGAGTATGAGTGGTGCGGGCAGAAACGGATACGGGCCACCACTCTCCTGGAAGGTGGTTTCCGAGGTACAAGCAGCCGACACATAGGCAGCGGCACTGGTGGCCAGGCCTGTGCTGGGTATCCATCTGTTGGGAGCCAAAAGGCCAGGGCTGGTGGCCGGTCATCCGTTTCACCACATGGGAACTGCAGCTGGCAGGGCTCCTTTGTGACTGTGCTGCCTGCCTGTGATGTGCATATTAAAATGGAAGTATTTGGGTGGGGAAATGGAATTGTGAGGCTGCAAGCTAGGAGTGACAAGGGGGGCTCTCGGCCTCGGGTGATACATTGAAGGTGACAGCCAAGCCACGTTAGCACCTGCATAAAATATTAAAGGGACGGTTATGCATTTATCACTCTATCCCTCTTAAGGCTGATAAATGAGAATCCAGCAACCTGATGTACACCTCCAGCACTGGGGGCCCTGAGGGCTTCCAGGCAAACACATTGGATTTTCCTCCTCCTCCTCCTCCTCCTCCTCCTCCTCCGCCTCCTCCTCCTCCTCAGCCCCATGTGAGAGAAATCAGTTACAGAGGAGAGAGTGAGTTATGGCAAAATCTGACCTCCTATGAGCTGCATTGGTGAATCTAATTTTAGCTCTGTTCCCATCCCTTCTGCATGGGCCCCTCTGCCCTGAAGCAAGAGGGGCCTAGGCCCAGCTGCTCCCTGCTTCCCTTGGGTTCTCCCCAGATGCTGCAAGAGGTCTGCAGGGCCCTGCCCAGCTCACTGCCCTCCCAGCTCCTTGGAGGGATATGGCGTGGCCCAGTGGGAGTCCCCCACTCACACCAGATCAGAGAGCAGACTGGTGCCCAGGGTCAGTGTCCTTTTGTCAAACTCTCCTGCCTTGGGCAGGGGAAGAGGAAGCTGTCTGCCTCCTGGCCTCCAGCTCTTCTCTCTTTCTGTGCTCAAGCACAGCTGGCACTGCAGCTTGTGGTCATTAAGTGAGCCAGTCTGCTTCCCATCTGCCTCCAGTTCTCTGGGCATCACCCTTGAGAATACTCTGTGTCTGGTCTCTGGGGAACCTCATAGTAGCTGGGAAGAGGGTCTCTGTCTCTTTGGGGCCCTGCTATTGGGGCTGGTGCTGAGGCCTGGTCTTCACGGTGCTGTCCAGTGCAGACTGGCTACACGAAGGGGCTCCAAGCCCAGGCGGGTTCTTATGCCTCTGGGCTTCTCACATTATCCAAGTGTTTGGGGACAAGCCAAAGTATAAATCAGGAAGGTTCATCAGACCCAACTGGAGCTGGGGAATGTTCGTTTGTCATTTCACTCTGGTCCTGTCCTAGAGAATGAGCAGCAAAGCCCAGGATCCCGTGAATTGTACACAGGCGGCAGCCCGTGCAGGTCTATTCCACGGTGCTGCTCTGGGCTCACTGTGTTGGCTGCTGCAAATAGTCACACCCTCCATCGCTGTGGCAACTTCTTAGTCAAGGTTTCTTGGCCCTGAACTGGACATGATGGCTTCTGGGCATCAGACAGGGCTTAAGGGGATAAAGCTGCATAGGGCTTGATGGTTTGACATAGTATTTCCCCTACACTGGGATGCATTTACAGAGCAGGTATGAGGGACTTCTAGGCCCTGGGCGGGTGTCAGTTTTCCCTGAGTGTTTACACTGTGAGGTTGTTCCTTTTAAGAATTCCTGAAGGGAGTTCAAAGGGGGCTTTTCTTTGAGCGATTTGGAGAGCGAGAATGAGAGTGAGACTTGAAGAGGGAACAGGGGCCAGAGGTGCCTTTATCTGCAGAGAATTGCTCCAGCTTTCCTGATAGAAGCTGCTGCTGCCTCTTAAACAGCTTAGTGCAGTCAAAAGACAGGCAGACTTGAAAGGCTGTTTTACAGTGAGATCAGCGGGGGCTACAAGGCAGAGCTGGGCGCAGTGGAGCGGAGGAGGCTGAGGCTCCTCAGTGGGGCAGGGGGTGGGGGGACTATCAAAGGAAGCCCTGGCTCATCCTGACTGCCGCTGCCCCGAAAACCTATCTGCAGAAGCTGACCATCTGTCAGTCTACCCTCCCTGGCCAGGACCACTAGGCCCCAACTCTTGAGGGGTTGGGTGTGGCCCCGCCAGGCGGGCTGGTGTCAGTGCATCGCATTGATCGCCCGCCGGGCGGGCCGGGCCGCAAGCCGGGCAGCGCGTGCTTAATGTGATTGAAAGGCAGTTAAAATGGCGGTGACCTTTTCAGGAGGAATTAGATTGCCTGCCAAGACCGGTTAGAGGGAGTGATAACGCCGGCTGAAGAAGCTGCCCGGCCGACTTCAGAGAGAAGGGAGCAGAAGCAGGATGAGCAGGCAAGCAGTGAGGCCCATTTAAGCTGTGCTGTGTGTGCTGACAGAACAGAGATTGCTGTCCTTGTTAGATATGAAAGAATTGAAGAATTGCAGATAAGTTCCTGTATCTGATCGTCCCCTACCCCTCCTCCCAGACCAGGGCCCCTTCGTCATCGTCAGTAAAGCTTCCCATCAGGCCCACTGGGAGCTGGTCTGATGGAGCAGATCGGTTGCCTAGAATGTAATCAGCTGTGGAGCCAGTGGGCAAGCAGGAGTTTTGGTGGAGACACCTGGCTGAGGAGAGCAGGCCTTAGAGATAGGACCTGTGGTTACTGAGGGTGAGGCCCAGATAGCTCAGACCCGGGAGTGCTGAGAATTGGTATTTTAGGACAAAATGAAGGACCGGACAGAGCAGGTAAGCACTGAGATAGGACCAGGTGGAAATAGATCTTGAAGAGACTAAGGAAATGGGTAAAGATGTCAAGAGAGCAAGTTGGAAGGAACTTCTAGTGTCTAGGAAACACTGGCCTTCCCAGTTCTAGGAGAAGCCCTGGGCTGTTGACTGTCCTCTAAGAACCTTATGTTCGCTAACCTGCTACTGCTGTTCCTTCCCACCCAGTTACAATTGCATGCAGGCGGCACACAGAGCCTAGTGCTTCACCAGCGTTCCCTTCAGAGCTCAGCGGTGAGGAGAAAAAGATGCTCTTCTGGGCGCCATGCCAGCCCTGGGCAGAGCAAGGGGCCTCTTGGCTAGAGCAGCAGGCCACAGGGAAACCCTAATCATAACAGCCCTTGGAGCAAACCTACTCCTACCTGTAGTCAATGAGATATATGGTCAGTGAGCCACACCTTCCCTCATTTCCTGTCTGTAGCTCCTGGGCTCTGGAGAAGAGACTTAAGGTGGTGAGATTTGATCCTTTCCCTGTATTGGTTGCCAGTGAAAGTTCCGCAGTTTTGAGGAGCCTGGAGCTCATAATCAGAAATGGGGAAAAAGAGGAGGGAGGGAGGGAGGGAGGAAGGAAGGGAGGAAGGAGAAAAGGGGAGGGAGGGAGGGAGGAAGGGAGGAAGGAAGGAAGGGAGGAAGGGAGGAAGGGAGGAAGGGAGGAAGGAAAAGAGAGAAGAGAAAGAAAGAAATGGACAGGTTGGAGAGGATATGGGAATGGGTTGGTTTCAGATAAGGTGATAATGATGTGGGGGGCACATGAGCGTTAAGATAGAGGAATTTCCCAGCAGGCTGCATAGGAAATGAAGGTGCTACAGCTGTGTCTTTGAACCCTGAAGGGAAATGCACTGCTAGAATCCAGCATTGAGCTCCTTTGAATCAAACAGGTGGAAGGGTGGGTACTAAGAGAGCCAGCTGTGCAGGGCCTCTGCCCTGTCCAGATCTTGGCTGAGGAACTGCATCTTTCTTGAGTCCCTGTCTTAACTTGAGGCTGCTTCCAAGTATCCTGGGTGAGGTATCATGGAGCAGATAGGCAGGGCAGCTTAGGTACAGATTTTTTACGTGCTTATGGCTTGATAAAACTTCAGGGCCAGGTTATAATTCAAAGGGGTAAGAGGTATTGTGAGTCCAAAGGCACAGAGAAACAGGCCTTGCCCTAACTGCAATCTCCTTTGGCGCATTGGTTTCTAAAAGATGGGAGGCTCAGGTGCTAAAAATGTCCCCCAGCACAGCCCTTCTGCCTGGTCCAGTTAGTAACAGGTGTTGGAATAGCCAGCTGCTGAAGGCAGTCTTGGAATGGAGAGGGTTAGGGCTGCTGCCTTCTAAGTCCTTTAATTATAACTGTTGCCTGGTGGGAGGGGTTGGAGAGGTGGCAAGGAGCAGGGCACCTTCTGTCCCCTGTGACGACTAACGGGATTTAATCGCCTTTTGGAACACAATTGTTAAGCTGGGACGGAGGGAGTGCAGGCTGAAGGAGCACGTATCAATGGTTTTAAACGGCGTCTGTCTCTGTGCGTCTCTCCTGACGTGAGGCAGTGAAACGCGTTATCGAGGAGGCCCGGAAAGTGGCTAAGTGCGTTTGACACACGCCAACTCCCTGCCTCCACACTGGATAATTGCATTGTCAACTGTTCAGCGAGGTGGCAGGTGACACTGCAGGCCGATTGATTGTCCCGCATCGCAGCTCCCCAGACTGTCAGCTCCCCAATCGATGGCGTTTACACAAGACACCGTAACTGCATCTGTAACTAATTCCAGTGTAAAACTCTCCGGAAGCTGCTGCCCCTGCCCCCCTCTCCCCTTTGGAGAGCACAGACCTCTGGAGGGACCCAAGACTTGCCTTTCTCCCTAAGTTCTGGTTTTGTTGGGAGCAGTAGGTGAGGAAATCAATGGCTCCATTTTTGTGGGTTTCAGGTTCCAGGACATTACAGCCCCCAGTAAACAGGCGTCTCCAGTTTCTCAATCGATTATTTGATCAATTGATTAAATTAACACTGATCTTTTTTTTCTTTTTTTCCCCCTTCTCAATGACCCAGGAAGAAATGAGTTTATGGGAGGGGGGTCATTTTTATAAAATTTAGACTTGCCTATCATTTCTGCACTTAACCCTCTCCTTCTCTATTGCTAAGAGTTCACTTGGCGGGAAGGTATTTTTCGCATTGCCTGCCCTCTCAGGACTGGGACCCACTGTGTTGAGCATCACTGACCACCAGGCTTAATTTGCCTGTAGGCAGCAGCCCAGCCCTTTGTGCCACCTTAAGGTGGGGCCAGCCCTAGCCGGTTTGGCTCAATGGATAGAGTGTTGGCCTGCAGACTAAAGGGTCCCAGGTTCTATTCCAGCCAAGGGCATATGCCTGGGGTTGGAGACTCGATCCCCAGTAGGGGGCGTGCAGGAGGCAGCCGATCAATGATTCTTTCTCATCATTGATGTTTCTATCTCTCTCTCCTTCTCTCTTCCTCTCTGAAATCAATAAAGAAATATACTATATTAAAAAATAAATAAAATAAAAATAAATAACTAAATACACTTCATTACATAAAAAGGCGCATCGATCGGAAGGAAAACAGTAAGGAGATCAAAGCAGAGTTGGTACCGACCGGCGTAAAAACTCGGGAGTGATAGAGGGTGGGAGTCGGGGACCCTCTGGAGCGAGTGGATGGAGGGCTTGCCCAGAAGACGGCAGCTGGGCGTCACCCCTTGTCATGAGGACGACTGGTGCCCCCTCAGCCCATTCTCTCTCATCATTGATATTTCTATCTCTCTATCTCTCTCCCTTCCTCTCTGAAATCAATAAAAAATATATATATTTTTTAAAAGTTGGGGCCAAACCATAGCAAGGGACCTCCTTAGTGACTAAAGGGTACCCTGGGTCATCTTGGAGGTCCCGGGGGCTGAGTCCCTTCCCTGGATAGCAGCAGCAGCAACAGGAGTGGCAGCTTGCCTATTACCCCCCAAAGCTACATGGAACAGGAGCCAGAGGCTTGGAAAGGAGCTCTGTGCCATCTTGCATCTGAGTACTGGCTTGGGATGTTCCAGCAGCTGAAAACATAAAATGACTGTGGAGCCTTTTTCTCAAAGCCGGTGGGGGAGGGGGGGTAAGCTGGAGGGGGCACTGTCTGCATAAAACGGCTTTATGGCCGTTTCTTTTTATTATGATTCTGCCAGAAGTCAGCAAGTGACATTTCATTAAGAAAATAAAGTTTAATGTGCTAGGAAGGAGGTTGGAGCAGGCTGGGGCAGCACAGGAGTGAAACTGGCAGCAGCAGCCTGTTCTGAACACCTGTGGGGGTAGGGAGAGGTTCCCAACATCTGTTTCCAGTAGGGGATGGTGTCAGGGTCAGAGTCAACTGCTCAGACCAGAGACAGAGCCCTTTTCCTCGGGAAACGAGGTGTCGTGCTCTCTGTCCTGCCTGCCTGGTCAGAGGAACAGAAGGTCGACTGGGGCTGGTAGGGAAGATTGTGTCCTGAGAAGTTTCTCCAGGCCACCAGCTAATCAGGCCTTGGCCTGCCTTCTAGCGCAGGGCTCCTAGGACCTATTGGAGCAGCAAGTAGCCATTATTGCTCCGGTGTGTGGTATGGTACCTGTTATGGGCCTGGCCAGCTCTGCTGGATGACGCTAAAATCACAGTCGTGAATCACACTGGGGCTTTCAATCTGGTGAGGGTCAGTGACAATAAATATGATTTTGGGGTTGCATAGGAAAGAGCACATTTAGAGGAAATATCTGGAGAAGTCTCATCCATACTCAGCACCTTGAGGGTAGGAATCAGATCTTGAAACTTTGTGTCTTCAATGTGAAGCCAGGCAGAGGATGAGTCCCGTAAAGGTTGAAGGAATGTTGTTGAGGTGGAAGTTCATTCAGGAAGTATTTATAGAGCAACTACTGTGTGTAGGCACTATGACTGAATAGTAGAAGGCATGGTTGAGCCAGCCACACTTGGCAGCATGAGCAGGCATGTGTTCTGTGGACCAGGAGGGCCAAGGTTCTAGGCAGACATAACAGGAGGTCTGAAGGCATGGGGGCAAGAGAAAACATGTAGGGTTTGGGAAACTACAGTAACTATGTTCTGCTGGAACATTCAAGTCCTGCTCCAGGCCTGGCGGCAATAGGACTGAAGAGGAAAGGACTTCAAGCCACAGGCTGCTTTAAGTGTTGAGAAGCTGGGGCTTTGGGGTGCCCTGTTTTCTCAGCTTTGCCATGGGTTCTTTGATTTCCTTTCTGCCCAATAGGCAGTGCTGGGTAGGGCCAGGCTGAGCCGAGGATGTGAGGCTGACTGCTGAGCTGTGTGTACTTGGGGGAGGGGGGTTGGCAGGGCTTGGGGGGTACACGCTGTAAGTGAACCTGATAGCTACATTCTGATTGATGGCGGAGTTTGTCTCCCAAACTGTCAGAGGGTTTATAGAGGTGCCACTCACCTACAAGGCAGGAATTGCTTGTCAGGACACCTGGCCGTGAATAGGAGACAGAGCTGTAACTTGGTGTTTTCTCAGCTTAATGGCCCTGCTGCTGACCTGCCTGCGTTTGTTGATGCCTTGAGTATGGAGGTCAAATGAGGACTGTCAGAAGGGGTGGAACCTAGGCATGCCTAGCCTTTCTCTTTCCCTGGTGCTGCTTACCTCTGGGATGGGTGGGACCTTTGTCAGGTCAGAGACCAGAGACAGAAGGGAGAAGGGTTGGGAAGAAAATGTTTTTGAAATGGGCTTGAAAGATGGAGAACATTCCAGATGGAGTGAATAGCATGAGCAGTCTTAAGAGCAGGACATGCAGAGTTGTGCTTAAGGTGCAGTAAGTAGTCTGTCCATATGCATAGGGCGTGTGGAGTGAGTGAGGGAAAAAGATCCTAATGGGTCTGGCTGAGGAGCCAGGCTGGATTGTGCTTGCAGTGAGGAGCCACAGTCAGTTTGGAGCAAGGAAAAGAAGGGTCAGAACTACATGGGAAGCCGGATGAGGAACAGACAAGAGGCTTGAGGACCCATTACGAGACTGTTACCCTGATGAGGGTATAAGAGCCTGAGAATGGAAAGAAAGGACAAGAAATTTCTGAGATCATCAGGCAAAATTCTGAGCTTCTTCCCCATCTCTTTAAGGATTTCCTTTCTGATTCTACTCCTAACAGATTCCATTGCTTTCATCTCTTTCTATCCTAGAAGGGCTACTTTGTGGCCAGTGAGAAGTGAGTGGTCTGAGACCACTAGGGGCTAGTTTATTAAACCACTTGGAGCAGCAAGCAGTGGCTGAGAAGGATGAGTTATGCAGAGTGAAAGGGACTGAAATATCAGACCACTTCTGAGGGAAGACAGGTGGGTAGGGAGGAGCAGCTTTGTGGCCTCTGACCTGGGCTCTCAGGAAGAGAAGTCCTGGAAGATAGGCCCATGATGAGTGAGGGCCTAGTGTAGCTTCAGCAGCTCCCGCCCCGTTGGCCAAGAGTCTGCCTGTGGCCGGACCAGTTGCATCTTGATGGGGTCAGCTGCCTGCCTGGCCCTGCCTCCGCCCAGCCTGGTTGCCTTCATGGGCTGCTTTGAGAAGCAGGTGTGCATGCCTCTCCTCTCATCTGTCCCCTCCTAATCCCTTTATAACTGCACTTGTCCAGGAATCTGGGCTGAGTGAGGTGGAGATGAATAATTAATGTCAGTCGCTTCAGACACCAAATATTTGAACAGCTGCCTGGTGTTTTTGCTGGCAAGGACCTGGCAGCCAAAATCAGGATGTTGACTGGGGTCCTGCTGTATGGCTCTGACTGGCCTTAGCCAGCCTGCTCTCCCCTCTGATGGGCTTCTCTGTCTGGACCATGGGACACAAGGAATGCCAAGGTCTTGGATGGGGTGATCTTGTAAGACCAGAATGTGTTCTCTTCCTGCTCTTCCTAGATCTGGACAGCAGGCTTGGGTATCTCCTGAAGACCTGAGGTAGTATTTGAAGGGGCTAGTTTATGAAACCACTTGGAGCAGCAAGCAGTGGCTGATAAGGATGAGTTATACAGAGTGAAAGGGACTAAAATATCAGAGTCCAGAGCACCTAAGTATCTGGCTCTCTATATTCCAGGCCCAAGTGTCTGTCTGGGCCTTATCTGGCCCAAAAGTTGACCTCCACCTAGAGGCAACAGAAGAGGCACCCTTGGCTTAGTCTTGTTGGCCCCCCCAATCCTCACATCCTGCTTCCCACAGGCTCTGGCTTCGTCATGTGCAGCGGCAAAGAGAATCCGGACAGTGATGCTGACTTGGATGTGGATGGGGATGACACTCTGGAGTATGGGAAGCCACAGTATCCTTGGGGCACTGTGGGACAAGGTGGGGCTTGTGGGATAGGCCAAAGGGAAAGCAAAGTAGCTAACACCTCTGGCACTTACCCCCCCTCCCTGGGGTCAGTGTCTCAGTTCTGGGCAGGATTCAACCCTCAAGGCCTATTGCAAACTACGATCCATTGTCCTTGACCACCATGCCAGATACACGGAGGCTGACATCATCCCCTGCACAGGCGAGGAGCCTGGTGAAGCCAAGGAGAGAGAGGCGCTCCGGGGTGCAGTCCTAAAGCAAGTGTGGGCACAGGCTTGAGGGTGGGCTAGAGGGGGATGGGAAGCCCTGAGGCAGGGGTCAACCTGATACCCACCCTCAGGGCTGTCCTTGCCTGCCTTCGAGGCTCACTTTGTTCTTTCTCCTTCCTTTCCTCTAGTGGCGGCCCTCCCAGCACGCGCATCACACCTGAGTTCTCTAAATGGGCCAGTGATGGTAAGTATTAACACAGGTTAGGAGGAGTAGGGGGAAGGGGACATCCTTTGGGTAGTGGTGGGACTCAGGCCCAACCCCTCCCCGATGCTGCTCGGTCTGGCCATAGTATGAGTTGCCTCTCTATCCCAACAGAGATGCCATCTACCAGCAACGGGGAGAGCAGCAAGCAGGAGGCCATGCAGAAGACATGCAAGAATAGTGACATCGAGAAGTGAGTGGCCAGAAGGGGAACCCTTGGGACAGCAGTTCTGTAGGAAGAGAGGGGCCACCAAGGTTCCAGGCCCTCCCTTAGTCCTGCAGCCCTGGGCACACAGCCGACAGTGGGGCCCAGCTGGTGCTAAGCATGACTCTGAATTGATCACTGGGCCACGGCCCTGGGCGCCTTGTTGGAGGGAGGAGCAGTCCGCCTGCCTGCCTGCCTGCCTGCCTGCCCACCCGCTACAGCGGCCTCCACCCGGGGAATGTGATGTATGGCCACCCAGCCCAGCCGGCACACTTGATTCATCTCCAGTTTCTGTTTCTTAATCGGGAGCTAAATTGGTTTCATTTTTCTTGTCCTGGGTGGCGCTTGCAGTGGGTTTTAGGCAGGAGCATTGGGTCTCATCACTTCTGGTTGGAATTTTTGGCCGAGGTTCCCTGGCAAGGGAAAGGGGACTCCCTTAGCACTTAATCCAGGGGGCCTGGATCCCCAGGAGCCACAAGGACTTGAAATCAGCTGGGCACTGTATTGCCTTTCCAGAAACCCAAGCAAGGCCAGTTCTAGCCTCAGGAGATGGCATTGTCCAGTTTGAGGTGTCTGGAGCTGCTGCCTTTGGCCACTGCTTAACTCCCACACCCATCCCCTCCCTCCACTGGAGGCAGGTTGCCTGGGGTTAAAAGGCAGCCTCTTCATTCCAGGACCAGTGTTCCATCTTGCCTTCTGCCAGGAGAGTGGATTGCAGGCCGGTGCAGGGCCGGGTCGGTGGCCCAGGGTCACCTCCCATTTGTTTCCCTCCATTTTGTGTTGTCATAAATTCATTCCAGCCCGTTGTGGTTGATCAGTTTATCTCGGCCGGGGCCGCAAGTGCTGCTGGCATGATGTATGGGCCGCGGCGCAGGGCCCGGCTGCCCATGAATCACCGCAGCTGCTCTGTGTCAGCGCCGGAGCGGGCCGCACGGGTTCGGCGCAACCAGCTTGGGGAGGGGGAAGGAATGACGTATGGATGTTTATTTAATAATTCTCTCCTACTCCAGCTGAGCGGGGCGGGCGGGGCCATAAGGGGCGCCCACCCTCGTCTGAAGGGGCTGCTCATAAATCAGAAAGACAAGATCATTAATCAGGGATGGCGCCCGAAGGGGAGGTGGGGGCCAGAGCCAGTGGCCATCCATGAAGGTACTACCCACCCAAAGCTGGGGAAGTCGGGATTTCTATCCCACCTGTGTGAGCACAGGCAGGGCTGTGGAACAGGTTGGGGACTGGCTCAGTCCTTGGATCTGGGTCTGCCTGGGTTGGGCCCCGTTAGTCCCCATGACTTTTCCTTGTACACAATATGGTTTCCCACCCTAGATCTGTTTCATAACCCAGGGAAGGGGGAAAGCAGGATGCCATGGCTGCTTTTAGGAAATTCTCCACCCTATGCCCTGGAGGGACTCAGGAATAGCTCACAACCAACCTGGGTCGGGGGCTGGAAGCAAAGAGTAGAGGCATGGTATATGCTGAGCAAATCCAGGATAGGGTGGACTCTGGGGTTGGATGTGGCCTTGGAGCTTTTGGAGATGGAGTGGGGAATGGCTTCATTCTCTCCTGGCCCCATCCTTTTTGCCTTTCCAGTTCTAGCTCATTCTCTGGTTTGGGGTTTGAGAGTTAGTTTTCTACTCTGGGGTAAGCTGCCCCAGCTCCATGCCTTAAGTTTCCCCTTCTCTGAAATAACCACATAGGACCTGGCAAGTGCCCAGTCTGGTCCTTAGAAAGGCAGGGAGCATAGCTACCCATCCTTGTCTCATTGTCAGGAATTAATAGCAGTCCAGATGGGGATGGTACATATGGCATTGGGCAAAATGCCAGGGGAGGAGCCAGCTGCATAGGTGCTTGTAAGGAGAGTGGGGGTGGTTAAGGCTTCCAGAGCTGGAAAGTTGAATGAATACTCTCAGGGAATCAGCCAGAGCCTTTCTCAGCTTCCCTGGAGAGAGGCAGGGCAGAGAGAATCCTGGACCCATGGAGTGATGGCTCTAGAGCAGTGGTTCTCAACCTTCCTAATGCCGCGACCCTTTAATACAGTTCCTCATGTTGTGGTGACCCCCAATTTCATTGTTACAAATTGAACATAATTAAAGCATAGTGATTAATCACAAAAACAATATGTAATTATATATGTGTTTTCCGATGGTCTTAGGCGACCCCTGTGAAAGGGTCATTCAACCCCCAAAGGGGTCGCGACCCACAGGTTGAGAACCACTGCTCTAGAGCATCCCTGATAGAGGGACACAGCCATCAGGAAGTCACGTTGTTGCTAGTACTACCCTGAGAGAGAAAGGTCAGAGATCAAAGTTTGTTGCTGTCTTAAGGCTTAGTTTCTATCCTGTCATAGCCTCTTCCAACATCCTCAACAGGTTCCCTTTGCCTGTGAGATAAACTTCACTTTCTTCTGATTGTGGCATCTGAGGTCTTCATGGATACTATCTCCTTTCCCACTATCGCTTTCTGCTTACCCACGGGCGAGACTTCAAGCCAGATGGGGCTCTTAGGCTTCTTGGCCTTTGTTCCGATGTTCCTCGATCTGGAGGCCTGTCTCCTGGGTCTAGTCAGTGTAGAATAGCGGTCAGTCACAGTTATTGGTTGACCACAGAATCAGTCTGACAGAGTTTAAATCCCATCTTCCCCATTCTGAATCTTGGGCAGGCTACTTAATGTTTCAATTCTGCTTTAGTTTCTTCCTGTATAAAATGGGAATATTATAATCTCCTCATGGGGTTTTTGTAAGGTGCAAATAAGGTCATTTTCAGTCCCTCAGTACCATCCCTGGCATTTAGTAAGTGCTTAATAAATTTTAGCTTTTATTTGTATTTTCATTATTATTCCCTAAAGCCCTCTCCAGGACCATCTTTTCTATTCCTCCAGGAAGCATTCTTCTCCCTTTGTGAGCTCCTCTAGGTTCTGTTCACTTGTTTTAGAAGGGGAGGGACGGATCACTCCCTGAGATAGTCCCACTATTCCCTGCTCAGTATTGCAGCCCAAAGAGTCTTCAAGAGGTTGTAGGGACCTTGTGCAGTGCCTGGACAACAGGTGAGGACTCGGAAGACACAACAAGGAGCCCTTGAGCAGGCCAGGCCTGTACCCCAGGGACTTGTATTATGTGGGACTCATCCAGTCCCCTCATCTCTCACTCTCCCTGCGGGTTGGACTGGCTCTTTATTTGGCAAATGTATGTTCATGCTCAAATGTTTGTTCATACTCACGTGCCTAGTGTGGAGCTAATGTCCATAGTCATGTTGGTGAGGTGAGTAGCTTCCCCTCAGGGAACTGAGCCTAGCAGAGGCGAAGACATTTGTAGTTATATTGCTGTGGTGGAGTCCAGTACAGGGGCTGGAAGAGCACAGAAGAGGCAGCCACCAATGGGCTTCTGGGAAGAGGTGGGAACTAACTAGACCTGAACCATGAGGTGGAACCTAGTGAGTTAGGAGGTGGGGATGGATGATCCAGAAGCAGAAAGTGTCAAGAAGCCAAGGGAATGAAAACCAGTGGCATGTGGGGGAAACTTGGTATTTTGGTGTGGGTAGAGCTTAAAGGATGTGGCAGGGTGCTGAAGGATGTGGCCGGCTGGGGATGGACCAAGGAGGTCCTTGTAAGCTTGTGAGGAGTTTGGTAGAGCTTTATCCTGAGGGAGACGAACTGTTGGAAGTAGAAACGGTCAAATTTGTAAAATTCTAGATGCTGGGAGAACAGAATGGAATGAGGGGACTGGCAGTACAGAAGCCATGCCATTCAGGTTAGCGGAGTTATCCATAGAAGAAACCGTGAGAACCTGGATGAGTGATGGCAGAGGCAGGAAGAAGTGAGGAAATTCCAGAGTTTTAGGGACTAGATGACTGATTTTGGATCAGGGAGATCGCTTCTCAGCCTTTTGGCTAAGATCAAGTGAATGTCAGAGGTAAAAAGCATGGTTTCAGGAAGGAATCCTTTGAGAATGGTTCCCAGATATCTGGTTTAGAAATCCAGCAGGATGGAGATGGAGGAACAAGGAGGGTGAGGGGTTCAGTTCTGGAATGTGGAGTTCGCTGATATAGGATATGGGCAGGGGCATCTGGGAGCTACTTGTATTTGTGGTTCTGGAATTCAAGGGTGTGGATTGAAGGTTTAGATTAAGGATGCCAGCCTGCAGTCTGCCCAACGAATGCTGTCCTCTTTACAGAATAACCGAAGATTCAGCTGTGACCACATTTGAGGCCCTGAAGGCTCGGGTCAGGGAACTTGAACGGCAGCTATCCCGTGGGGACCGCTACAAATGCCTCATCTGCATGGTGAGAGGAAGGGGACCTATGGGTGCCCTTGGTCAGGCTTCAGTGCCCCCTAGGGTTTGGAGAGGGTCTCTGCACTGTCATCTGACCTCTTTAGAGGGTGGGCCAACCTCAGTGTGATCCCTTCTCTGCCCACCTCCTCCCTAGGACTCATACTCGATGCCCCTAACGTCCATCCAGTGTTGGCATGTGCACTGCGAGGAGTGCTGGCTGCGGACCCTGGTGAGGTGGCATGGGGATTGGGGAATGGGTGGCTGTTTTGGGGTACTGCCCAGATGTCCTTGCTTATGCTTGAGCCTGCTTTGAGAGAGGAATGAGGAGGGGCGAGGGGGAGCAGGAGCATAGAACACAGCCATAAGCCAGGATCCCCGCCCCCTCCCCAAGCTCACCACATTCTCGCCTCCCCCCTCTGTGGGGTCACTGCTTGCTCCCTTCCTCTGCCCTCACCCCCCAGAAGGGAAGGCCCACTGTGTCACACATATTGGTGAGATCCTGGGTCAGGAGGAGGCTGGGTGTGGGTAAGCAGGACCAGGGCCTCAGCCCCTCCCCCTCCCATTACTAAGCTCCCTCTGCTCCTGCCCCTGTTCTTCGCTCGGGAGCAGCCATTAAAATGTCGCCCGGAGACAGCAATAAAAGGCCCGGACGTGGGCTCTGTGTCCTGATCAAAGGCCGTGTGTAATCTCGTTAGGGCCTCGGCAGCCACAGCTGGACCCAGCCTTGTTCTCATTACTGGGGCTCCTGCTGCGGGGCTGGCCAGGCGGTTTGATCCTGGCATCCCCCCAACACAGGAGCGTGCCTGCCTGCTCACAGAGGCTGCCCATGCTTCCCAGCCTTGGCTGACAGGACCAAGGTGCCAGCACACAACTGGTATAAGCCCAGTGCTCACATGAGCAAGCATGCAGCCCTGTGTGCATAACCAAAGCCTTCCCTGTTCTCCCCGCAGGGTGCCAAGAAGCTGTGCCCTCAGTGCAACACCATCACAGCACCCGGAGACCTGCGGAGAATCTACTTGTGAGCTAGCCACCCCAGGCAGGCCTTGCCTCAAGCAGCCCCACCTGCCGCCTCTGTGATGTGACCCTACCCCTTGTACATACTTGCACACAGGTTCCCCATGTACATACATGTACACACACGCACGCACACACACAGGCCTCTGGAGCCAGAGTGGATGTAGAGGCCCAGGCCCTGCCACACTCCCACCAGGATTGGGGACCATACCTGTTCCAGGTTCTGTTCCCAGGGTGGGGCAGGGAGGTGTAGGTGGGGTGGGTAGCAGGGCAAGGCTCCTGAGATCCAGCCCCCAGACCGACCGACTGACAGACAGACAGACAGACATGCAAACACCAGACTGAAGCACATGTAATATAGACGTGTATGTTTACAATGTTGTGTATAAATGGGATAACTCCCCGCCCTCACCTCTCCCGTCCCCTTTGGTTGTATGATTTTCTTTTTTTAAGAACACCTGGAAGCAGTGCCTCCTTCAGGGCTGGCTGGGGGCTCGGCCCATCCACCTCTTGGGGTGCCTGCCTCTCCCTCTCCCATGGTGTCCCTTCCCTCTCCCATGTGCTCGGTGTTCAGTGGTGTATATTTCTTCTCCCAGACATGGGGCACATGCCCCAAGGGACATGATCCTCTCCTTAGTCTTAGCTCCTGGGGCTCTTTATAAGGAGTTGGGGGGGAGGAGGCACAAAAATGGGAACCGAGGGGAGACTGGGGCTGGATGAGGGTGCTCCTGGCTGCCCAGCCTTCTGCCAAGAACCATTCCTGGGACTAGAGCTGCTGTTCCCAGGGAAGAGTGTCGTCTCCCCGCCCCTCCCATGGGCCCCATGGTGTGATGCTGTGTCTGTATATTCTATACAAAGGTACTTGTCCTTTCCCTTTGTAAACTACATTTGACATGGATTAAACCAATATAAACAGCTGCTGCCTGTGTGTGTGTGTGTGTGTGTGTGTGTGCAGGGAGGGATGGATGACAGGGGGTGTACACAGGCAGTTAAGAGGTTAATTCCTGGCAGCAATGGGGGAAAGGACTTGGCTGTGGGTGTGTGAAGCAGTACAGCGTTGGTCTGCTCAGGGACCCTGAAGCACTACGTCTGTGGGGGTGGGGCTGGGGACCTAGACTCCTGACTATTGATGGGTGGGGGCTCCAGGTTAATTCCTTATCGATGTGGAATCGTCAGCTCATTAATCACAGAAGAGGTCAGAGCTTGGGGGTACAGAGGGGATGCAAGCTCTAGCCCCCAATCTAGGGAAGGGGCAGCTATAAGCTTGGGTGAAAAGCCTCTGTCCCTTTCCAGTTCCCTGAAACAAGCCAGGGACCAGAAATGGAACCACTGCCTCAGCACCACCGTGACCTCTTCTCTTCAACCAGCCCAGTACAGCCACTGCCTGGTCCTCAAATGGAAACAGCAGAAACCCCTGTTATCCAAGATGGAGCCTCAAGGCAGACAACTGAGGTTGGCAGCTAGCACTGGAGATGCTGCTTTGTCACATCCCCACGGCTGCCCCCTGCCCGTGAGTGATCAGCATCTCACTTGGTGTCTGGTCAGAGCAGTGCTCAAAGCTGCAGATGAGTACTTGCCCACCACGGAGCTTGTTTTGAGAAAATAAGATTCTGATATTTAAAACCCCAGCGTATCTCCATTAACTCCAGACTCCTATTTACAAGTTCTCACAGGCCAGGTCTGCCCTCCATCTTCCCAAATGGGCTGCCTCCGGCACACCAATCTCGGTGCCCACGGGGCACACTGCAGAATCGGTCCAGTTGGCAGCTCCTGCCTCCTGCACTCAGATCACCCTGGTGCGAGACCAGCGGAGGCCCTTCAAAGCCCCAGGCCCAACTTGATGGCTCCAAATATCCTGAACACAAGGACCCTGAGGCCGAGATTCTAGGGGTACATGGCCTGTCCAGGTGGAACAGCCACAGTGATGGTTAAGGTTTGGAAGACAAGTGGGCAATGCCTCGTTCCCATCAGGCTGGCTCCTTTCAGGTCTCAACTCTCCCCTCTCCCTGCCTGGGACTCAGTAGGTCCTCGATGGCTGATTACTCCCACCCTGGGGGCCATATGCCCTCTAATAGGGAACATTAACCCAGAGTGAGGACCTGAAGCTCACCCTGCTGTAGGATTTTTGAGCTCCATCTCATGGCACAGGCAGCACTGCCACCTGTTGGCCATGGCTAGGAATGCAGCCACACAGCCTAGGACTCCGCTGCCAACAGTTCCAGAGGTCCCAGATGCAAGTAGAACTCGCCGAGTCCCTCAGCCCATCAGCCCGAAAATATCAGGGCTCCCACCCAGTTTTCCCAGCTATCTTCACTTCCTGTCAAACTTTCAAATCTCATCACTGCCCCCCAAGTCCCTTGATCACCACAGTAAGCTCATTCAATCAACAAACATTTATTGAATACCTACTATGTACCAGCATTGTGCAGCAGTGACTTGTAACATGATAGGTGATACAGAACTCTAAGACTAAAGGCACCACTCCTGCCCAGAGAGAATCCAAGTGGGACGCCCTCAAGGAGATGAGGGAGTTTGTTATTTCAGCCAAATGGCCCTTGCCCTGGGTCTGGTCTTCAGGGTTCCTGACTTCACCTGCCCCAGCTCCCATATGGTGCTGCTGTCTTCTCTCTGCTCCCCACTCCATCTGCCCGTTACACACACACATTGCAACTTTCCTGGACCCAGTGGCTTCCTGGAAAAGTGTGGTGGACCTGGGCAGTCCGGCCACCGCTGCCTCCTCACCTCTCCATCTGGCTTCTACCTCCGACTCCCTGGCAGTGAGGGCAGAGAAGTCTGCATGAACTGCCAAGTGAGGTCCATAGAAATGGTGCTTCATGCTGTGGGACTTTGCCTTTCTGGGGCCTTGGAAAAGAGATCACAGTCCCTGCCCCAGCCTAATCCTACCCTCTGGCACCTCCTCACAAAACTCACTTTCCATTCAAGAAATCAGAGAGTAACCCTGGGGCTCATTATCCACCCCCCCCACCACCACCCTCCGCTTGGTTAATCCTAACAGCCCAAATGCCACAAGAATCAGCATCCTGACTGCTCCACTTCTCCAAGTACAACACTGCCAGGCACTACCGCCCCTGCCTAGGATCCTGGGGTAAGCAGACCACCTGTCTCCCAGGGCAGGGGCCCAAAGGAATTCTCTACTTGGGAGACCATGACATCCCAAAGGGCTGACGGGAGTTGAACCAGAAGAGGACCTCATCCATGGATACAGGTTGTGAGGGGGTGTCAGGCATTTATTTCTGGTGCAGAGGTGAGGTGGGTGGGGCAAGGACTTCAGCAGTGGACACAGCTGCGCATGAAGTTGACACAGAGGCTCGTGTAGTAAGTAGGGTAGTCACGGAGGTGGCTGACATGAGCAGATGACACAAAGTCCACAGAGCGCACCAGGACCCGGTGTGCCAGGCGTGCCTCCACCATGCGTTCCACATCCCTGGCTAGGACCACTTCATCAGCCCTTGAGTACAGGTACAGCTCGGGCCAGCGAGAGGCTGCATCGAGTAGCCTGTCATAGAAGTGGGTATGGAAGAGGGCAGTGAGTGGAGCGAGCAGGACATGGAACAGGCCTGCCACCAGGGCAAAGGCCACCAGGAGCAGCAGGCGCAGCGCAGCAGGCCGGTGCTCCAGGATGGCTGCCAGGGCCCGCAGGGCCCCCACCAGGTTGCTATCACCAGGACCGCTGTCAAAGATGGTGCCCACCACACGCAGGTGGCAGAAGCGCCGATGGGTCTGCAGGAGCTCCAGCACGTATCGGTACAGCATGACCCCGGCGTTGCTGAAGACGTGGAAGAGTAGAGGCTCCTTCTCAATCTCGTAATCAAAGAGGAGCTCAAGTAGCTTCTGGGCCAAAACACGAAGTGAAGGGATGCCCAGGGACTCGGAGAAGAAGACCATGTGCCATGGGGCTGTGTATCGGATCACAATGCAGCCCTGTGGAGGGATAGGGTGGGGTGGGTACAAGCTAAGGTCAGAGGGGTCCAGCAGCTCCAACTTCCACAAGCCCAGAAGCCTAGCAGTGTTCCGGGCTCTGCTGAAGCTAGGCACCAGCTCACCGCTCACAGACACAGTGCCTTCCAGAGTGGAAGGTTGAAGAATAATAATCACTTCACATTGGCCAAGCCCCCTCAGCCCGGGATGGTATGTGAGGCCTGGAGCCCAGAGCATGCTTTGGAGACATCTGGGCTGACCAGAAGGAAGTCTCCTCTCTCTGGTCCACTTCGTCTCCCTCCCACCCATGATCCTGCACTCTCATCTACTCAGCTTGCTGCCTGGCTACACCCCGTTGCTGTACCTCCCCTCTGCACTGTGTCTACCACCTCCCAGGCACAAGGAGGTACCCAGTGAGACCCAACAGGACACACAGCCTGCAGGCCCCAGCCTTGACCACCAGAGGCCACTCGTGAGCCAGACCCACATCAGATCCGTCTCTGGCCACTGCTACCTTCCTACAGAGCCCTGAGGGCAGTCCATACCTTCTGGCATCAGGTGCCTGGCACTCAATCTGTCTGGTTCCAAGGCCTGGTATCACTCCTCCCACTTGCCCTGAAATTCCATGTATAGTAAATGCTGCTGTTCCTCAAATTCTAAAATCTGAGCCAAACTCTCTCTAGGTTGATGTACCCCTCAATACGTGGACCAAGTCTCCAGGCCTGAGTCTCATTACTTGGAACAGAGATCACAGTCCCTGCCCCAGCCTGATCCTACCCTCTGGCACCTCCTCACAAAGCTCACTTTCCATTCAAGGAATCCCTTCTCATTAACTTGTTCTAGGACTCAGGGCCCTTTGTTAAGGGCCTCAGAGTTAGGCAGGCTCTAGGGCAGCGGTTCTCAACCTGTGGGTCGCGACCCCTTTAGCGGTAGAACGACCCTTTCACAGGGGTCGCCTAAGACCATCCTGCATATCAGATATTTACATTACGATTCATAACAGTAGCAACATTACAGTTATGAAGTAGCAACGAAATTAATTTTATGGTTGGGTCACATGAGGAACTGTATTTAAAGGGCCAGAAGGTTGAGAACCACTGCTCTAGGATCAGACAGGGCTGGGTTCAATTTCCGGCCCCACTTATTAACAGTATGGACTTCATTTTTCTGAGTCTGTGTCTCCATCCATCTCAGGGTTATGGTGAAAATTAAATGAAAAAATGTATCTCAACTGCCCCAAACAGCACCTGGTACAAAGTAAATTCTCGACTAACAGTAGCAGTAATTCGTGACGGTAGGACTACTACTTGAATGACCCATGGCCAAACAGGGATGGTCAGCTGAGGTAACTCTCGACTTCCTCCCTCCAATCTGACATTTGCCCTAGCTGCTCCTGGCACTGCTCTTATCAGAGGGGGTCCCGCTGCCACCTGGTCCTTAGCTATGGAAATTTCACAGAGTGCTCTGTTCTCACTCCCCAGGAAGTTGTGAAATATCTTCCCACCCACCCCCAACCCACACACAGCATCGCCCACAAGTGCAAGCACATCCCACCTCACGACCACACACGTGACTCCCGGACTAAACAAAGCCCATCTACCACACATCCCACAGGGGCAGACAACCAAGGCGCCCACCACTCACTAGGGTGCACCCACCGCAGCACCTGGGAGTGCACGAAAAGGCACAGCTGCCAACACACACCCACAAGCACATACACCACTGGCGAGCACACACGTTCACGGTGCACGCGCACTCCTCCCCAGGAGCATTCAGGTGCGGAAAACTACCTGCCGGCTCAGACGTAACCTCAGCGATTCCCGTGAACACCATCTTTGAGGGCACACATGGCGTCCCCCTAACTCCACATCCCCTGTGACTGCACACACAGAGCTCGCCCTGGGAATTCCCAACACTCCCTGTGGAGGGCCCACACACCGAGCCTCCCGGTACCCACAGGTCTGGGCTTCACTTGGAGGCTTCCAAGGTGCCTGGCATCTCTGCTGCCACCTCCCCAGTCCGATGCTCGTATAAGTCCCTGCACCAAGGACCTGGGTCTCGCTGCATGTCAGATCCCAGTCTCTTCTCTCTCCCCCAAAGCCAACCATCTTTCCATCTCTGCACATGCTCAGTCCCAGGACAAGGCCCTGCTCTGTCACTCCTCACCACTCTCTCCTGTATTTCAGTCTCTTCCTCTCCCTAGATTCCTGCACAGACTAATCTCATTTTTAAAAAAAATAAAAGCTTCTGCTTTACATCACGTTCCCCTCTAACTCTATCCCACCTTTTCTTCACCCTCCTAAACAAATTCTGACAGCCACCCTCCTCTCCACCGCATCCCTTCCACTGGCTCCAATATGACTACTGCCCTGCTCTTGTGAAGGTCATCATATTCTCCCAAATGGTCTAACCCCGTGGTCGGCAAACTGCGGCTCACGAGCCACATGCGGCTCTTTGGCCCCTTGAGTGTGGCTCTTCCTAAGCCTTAGGTGTACCCTAATTAATTTAATAACAATGTACCTACCTATATAGTTTAAGTTGAAAAAATTTGGCTCTCAAAAGAAATTTCAATCATTGTACTGTTGATATTTGGCTCTGTTGACTAATGAGTTTGCCGACCACTGGAACCCATGACGGCTTTCAGTCCCCTCATACTTCCCTTCCAGCAGCATTTGGGATTACACACACTCCTAGATATATTCTTTGGTAGCCCAGGCTCTTCAATAAGTTGTTATCATGAAAACTGTTCTAGATTTAAAAGGTCAAGGAATTAGATGCAATGGGTGATCCTCAATTAGATTCTGATTTGGGCAAATCAGCTATAAAGGAACTTTGGGGACTACTAGAGAATCTGAATGTAGACTGGAAACTAGATGAGATGAAAATTTATTAACCTGAGAAGGTGGAGATCAAAATCTGAAAAAAAGCAGGCTGTAAAATAGTATAGTCAATAGATCTCATTTAGGTAAAGAAAAGAAACCGACACAGAGAGAAAAGCTGAAAGGATATATACTAACGTGTAAACAAAGGTAATCGCTAGGCGGTAGAATATGGTGTTTTTATTTTCTTTTAAATAATAAAGTATTAGGAGTTTGGAGTTGAGAAACATTTTTCTCCAAACCCATCCTGTTCTCCCAACTACCGGGTAAAGGGACCCCTTCCTTTCCCAGAAGACCCCTCCACTGGCCCTGCCACCTCAGCCCTCTGCCTTCCCCAGCTTTGCTCCTTCCCTGTCTCCCCGTGCCTCTGCCTCAATAACATCTTTCCTCTCACCTCTATAGTGGCCGTTTCCCAAAGATTCTGTGGATTCCCAAACTTTCCTGGGTTTTCTTGTCCCTCTTTGGCCACCCCTCCTTTCCTCGTAGGACCTTCTCCATCTTCCACTCCTTTAACTCTGGGCTCCTCAGAGCTGTCTTAGGCCCTCTTCTCCTTGCCCTCTACATTCTCCCTGGGGGAAGCTCATCCACCCAGGACCTATGGCTTCTCCTCAGGGTTCCTTGTCTCAAAAAACCCCGCCCTCTACTCAGGAACTGCCGCAGCCAGAACCCTGGCATTACCCTGGACCCCTCCCTCTCCCTGTGCCCACACCCAATTGCTCACTAATCTACCATTCCACCTCCTAACAAGCTCCTTGATCCATCAACTTTCCTCCAGGGGCACCACCAACCCCAAGGTCCTGACACTGCAACACATTATGCCCAGCACACTGGCCCAGATAGGCAGCATCAACCAACAGAAACTTGAGGTCTGGGCGACTCCACTACCGGGAGCAATCAGGGCTGGGCTGTCCACTGTGGGGACGGGGAGGAAGGAAGGAAGGGGAAGCAGGTCAGGGGGATGAAGGAGACAGACCAGGCCACAAAGCTGGCAGCAAAGAGGGGATAACCCTACCAAAGACCCATGACCCCAGCATCTTCCTCACAGGCCTGTTCCTATCTTCGCTGCAGCCCAGAGCAGGGCCCCAGCAAGCGTGTCCGCAGCCTGCAGTACTCACCCTTTTGTGGTAGATGGCGCTGTACTTGGCAAGGTTCTTGTCTGTGCAGCCACCCCAGCCCAAGAGAATCACCAAAGGCTGTCGAGTCCCCGCCTCCTTCCCACCTTGGCTGGGGCTGTTCTCTGAAACAGACAGGTGACTATCAGTACTGGAGGAGGTGGGAGTCACTGGCCAATCCAGAGTCAGCACCACTCTGGCTGCAGGCAGGGAACGGAAGGTAGCAGCCCAGGCACCCGCCACAGGCTCCCCCTCTGCCCGCTGCTTCAGGTGGCCCCTCAGGACGCAGGCACTACAGGGTCATTGGAAAAACCCACCTGAGGCTTTCCTTAGTGACTCAAAGACACAACCCAGGTGAGAAAAGTGAACACTTTCTCCATGCAACCTCACCTTCCAATCCAGGGGCTGGCAAACTACAAGCCATAGGCCAAAGCCAGCCATGGTCTGTTTTTGTATGATCTATGAGCTAAAAACACATTTTACATTTTTAAATGGTTTTAAAAAATCAAAAGAAGAGGAATATTTTGTGACACATGAAAATTATAAGAAATATAAATTTGAGTGTCCACAAATAAAGTTTTATTGGAACACAGCCACATTCATTTACTTCTTGTGTATGGCTGTTTTCAGGATAACACAGCAGAGCTGAGTAGTTGCAACAAAGACCCTACGGTTCACAGAGCATAAAATATTTGTTGGCTCTTTACAGAAAAAGTTTAGCAGCCCCTGTCCTAATTGCACAAACAGATGGAAGAAGAGGGTCTTAAAAAGAGAAATGGTGGCACAGTGTAAGCAGACCGACTCTGAGGCCCATTCCAAACTACCTCCCTGTCTTGCCAGAGAATATTAGCTGATATTTAATGAGGTTTAACCTCATAACAACACTAAGAGGAATATTATTACAGATGCAAATTGAGGCACAGAGTGGTTAGGTGACTTGCCTAAGGTCACACAGGCCCCTGCTCCCCATCCACCAGCTCTGTCCATAACTAGAAGCATGCCTCCTCCAGTGAGTGATGTGTGAGGCACAAGCCAGCTGTCTGCTCTGTATCTGCTACTGTAGAGGCCTCCCTGCTGCCTTGTTAGTCAGAACCCATCTCGTTTCCCCTGCCAAGGGAGTGCCACCTCCTCAGGGGGATTCTGTGCAGGGACTGCTAGTTATCTGCCCTCCCGCAAGGACGGGGCTGTGCCCTTCCAAGGATCAAGCCACTTGGCTATGTTCAGCTGCCACCCTGAGATTTATGGAGGCCAGTGGTGACCTGGCAACAGTAAATTTCAAGGCTAGTTAAGAGGATGGTAAATATAAATCACTAACCTTTGGACAAAAGGAAGACAACAATTTCCTGTGGAAATTAATGTGATTGAAAAGTTCAATGTTCCTGCTCTCCAGCAGTGGTGACTCCAGCCTTCGGAGATTAACTGCCTGCACCCACGGGGATCCCGGGCTGGGCTGCAACTCAGCCTGCAGCGGGAGCTGCCAGCGCCTCGGTCCCTTGCTGACGCCTGCCAGCCCTCCCACAGCTCTAACTCGGGCCACTCTAAATATTCTCACTCCTTACTGGGCTTGGTGTCCCCCCGACCTCTGCCAGAGCAGCTCTGGTTCGGATCTGCCTTTGAATCTCCGAGACCCAGCAGCTGGGTTCCTGAGACCCATCTCAGGGAGGCTCCCTTACTTCTGTGAGCTTCTGAGCATCGGCTCCCCTCCCCAGCCTAGAGGGTCCCCTCCATGGGTCTCCACCAGGACACCAGCGAAGGGCTTTGGAATTTATCTCAAATAGAGAAGGCAGGCAAGGGAAGTCACATGCCCTGGCAGCCGCCCAAAGTTAAGGCCACCCAACCAGCAGTGATGGCGCATTCCCAGTAGGGGAAGGCTCAGACAGCTTCTGCTGGGCCTCGGACTTGCCCCTTCTCCAATGGCTGGATTTCTAACTCCATTTGCTCCCACTGCAGGCTGTACTGGCACCCTCACTTCACCGACTCACGAAGGAATGGCTCTTCCCCAGATACGCATCTCCATGAAGAAACTCAGCTTATGAACTCCATGAATTCACTGCCTACTCCCAGAGCCCAAGCTTTCTGTCATGTTCCTAAAGGGGGGAGACCGGTCCCTCCACTCCTGCCAGGCATTCAAGGCTGCCCGCTGAGCCACAGGTACTCTGCACCTGTGGGCACCTCCCACTCCAACACATTCTCCTCCCCGTGCCCTACTTCCTGTGCCCACTCTTAACTCAGAGCCTTTGGCATGACCTCCTCCCCTAGAGGCACACGGCTCCTTTTGATTCTATACATGAAGTGCTATAATCCAGAAAGTCCAAGGTGCTCTGGGAGCATGGCTGAGAGTGACCGTGACCAGGAAAGGCCTCCCAAAGGAAGACGCATTTGCTGTTCCGGCCTTGAAGGACTAGCGGGAGCATGCCAGGTACAGAGCGGGCAGGGGCAGGAGCTATGGAGACGTTACAGTTGGCCTGGGCACAGCAAGCAGTCCTGGGGGCGAGCTCCTCGGTGAGGGAGCAGCACCAACGGTCAGGAGAGCTGCCGAGAGTGGGACTGGCCCCAATCCTGCAGGGCCTTCACACCATGCTGAGGAGCCCGGATTTTATTCCACAGCAGTAGAGAACGAGTGAAGATTCCGGAACTGGGGAACGGCATGATCCAATCTGTACTGATTCACGACTTGCACAATTATTTGTTTAATGTCTTAGCCAGCAGGCTCCGTGAAGGCAGGAACTGGGTATGTCGTGTTCAGCACCACACCCCCAGCGCCCAGCACTGTAGCTGGCACATTCAGGCACTTGTGCTGAAGGCACACGCGGCTGGGAAGTGAAGGATGGATCCAAGGAGGAAGAGCTGGCATTCTCCTTGTTACCCACGGCCCTTTCCAGCCATAAAAGTAACGACGACGGCTACTGTTATTTATGGCCACATCGGGATCATGATTCCTACACTCTTGTGAAAGCCCCTGTTCCTCTCCCCTCCCCCTGCTGACATCTCCAGCCACTCCCCTCAGGCCCTGAAGACAGGCACTGGCTCAGCCTCCTGCATATACTCCAAGGCTTACCATGGCCCACCTTGTTCCTAAACCATAAAACTCTCTGAAGTCCACATTTCCTTCCAGCGCCTACCCTCCCGCTCTTTCCCATTACAGAGAAAAACAATAACAGCAAAAAGAGCATTATGTGTCAGGCAGTATTCTAAGCACTTTACCTATCAACTCACTTTGTCTTCACAACAATTCTATGAACAAGAAACTGTTATTATTCTCATTTTACAGATGAAAAACTAAGCCATGGAGATAGTAAATAACCTGCTCAAAATTACACAACTAAGCAGTGAAGCTGGAACCCAAACCCAAGTGGCCTAGAGACCAGCTTACAACCACTTTCTCAGCCAAACCCCAAGGCCCCATCTTAACCAATTTATATGGCTCAGCTCCAAACCTGTACACGCAGCTGCCTCTGTACATCAACAGGTCCAACACTGACCTACTCCACCTGTTCCTCCTCAGGGGACTGGTCACACCAGCCAGAACCTCAACATTTGCTGCCTCATTTGGTCCTGCAACCATCCCAGGAGTTAGCTACTACTGTGAGCTATTGCCTCCCTTTTACAGGTGAGAAAACTGAAGCACAGAGAGGGTAATAAGTCCCCCTGCAAGAACATGCCGCCAGGAAGTGGCAGAGCCGCGTCCATCCCTGGACCGCCGCGCCACAATGCCTCCACCTCCAGGACCTCACAAGCGCCTACTCCCCGGCTGATGCTGATGCTCCGTGTTTATGCTTTGCTAATGCCCACTCCACCTTCTGAGTCAGCTCACTGTTCACTTCCAGGAAGCCCCCTTAATGCCCTCCCCACCCCTTCTCACCCCCATCCCCAATCAGCAGACGGGGTTCGAGGGCCTCCTCTGCAGTCACAGCACCCACCATCACCAGCCACGGCACTCATCGCTGCCCGGAAAGTGCCCATTAGGAACAGGCGGGAGACTACTGTATTACACAAGGCAAGAGATGGCAAAGACCCCAACCAGAGCAGGGGAGACAGGTAGGACGGGGAGGGAAATGACAGGGAGAAGAGAGTCACGACAATTTTGGAACAAAAGTATCAAAAGTCTTAAAAACATACAATATTTGACTTAGTAATTCCACTTCTAAGAAAGAAAAATGTTTCATGGAAATATTTAATGTTTCATGGAAATATTTAAGCAGATCACAGACACAAAATGTAAGAGATTAAACACAGGATAAAATATAGGAGTCGGTTGGCACTGGCTGGCTGTGTGCGTCATTTCCGGGGACACAGTCACGGAGTGGCCAAGGGCCTGCAGAACATCAAGCTTATGTTCTATTGTGACTCCTGCGACACATACCTCACTCACGACTGTCCATCTGGGAGAAAGACCCTGCCGTGGTCGGAAACAAAGAGAGTGTGAAAACCTCTCAGAAGTGGATGGAAGAGCAGGCTCAGAGCCTGACTGACAAAACAACCGCAGCATTTCAGCAAGGGAAGCTAGACACCTCCTACTCCACCCTGCTCCTCCTCCTGCAGGGGTGATGTTCCCACCTCCCCACAGCCTTCCGGTCCACCCCGCCCTCGTATGATGCCAGCACCCCACATGGGCCCCCAAGGATGAGACCTCCCACCCATCCCTTGATGGCGCCCGCTCGGCCCGGAATGACTCGACCAGACAGATAAGGAGCGAGGGAGCCTCTTTCTATCCGTTTCTCTTACTTGTTCTACTTCACGAGAGATCGTGGTGACTCTGGGTGTTTTCTAACATCAGATAAGGAAAAGGCACCCCTATCTAAGAGAGGGGAGTATGGGACCAAAAGAAGCAATTCTCATTTGTATTGTGAAATGTGAAAATAAAATTGTCAACTCTTTTAGTTAAAAAAATATAGATATAGGAGCACATCTTTGTGACCTTGGATAAGGTAACGGTTTCTTAGACATGAGCAAAAGTATAAAGAATAAAAGAAAAAGTAGATAAATTGGGACTTCATCAAAATTGAACTTTGGTATTTCAAACGACACCATCAAAAAGTGAAAAAAAACCTTAGCCAGTTTGGCTCAGTGAATAGAGCGTCGACCCACGGACTGAAGGGTCCCTGGTTCGATTCCAGCCAGGGACACGTACTTTGGTTGCCGGCTGGATCCCTGTGTGGGAGGCAACCCATCGATGTGAGATGTTTCTCTCTCTGTGTCTCTCCTCCTCCCTTCCACTCTCTCTAAAATCAATGGGAAAATATCCTCGGGTGAGAATTAACAACAACAAAATCCGCAGAATGGGAGAAAATATTTGCAAATCATGTATCTGACAAGGGGCTTGTATCCAGGATATATTAAAACCTCTTAACAATTCAACAATAAAAAGACAAATAACCCAATTTTAAAATGGACAAAGGCCTTGAAGAAACACTCCTCCAAAGACATATGAAAGGCCAATAGCACATGAAAAGATGCTCAACGTCATAAGCATTAGAAAAATGAAAATCAAAACCACAATGAGATGCCATCTTATACCCGCCAGGATGGCTATAATCAAAAAGTCAGATAGTGCCCTGGCCAGTGTTGCTTGATGGTTAGAGCGTTGGCCTGCTCACCGAAGGGTCTCAGGTTTGATCCCCAGTTAAGGGCATATACCTGGGTTGCAGATTTGATCCTCACCCCCAGTTGGAACGTGTGTGGGAGGCAACCAATCAATATGTTTCTCACATTGATGTTTCTCTCTCTCTCTACCCCTTCTACTCTCTCTAAGGATCAATGGAAAAAATATCCTCATCCCTTGGGTGAGGATTAATAAAAATTTAAAAAGTCAGATAGTAAAAGGGCTGGTGAGGATGTGAAGAGATCAGGACCCTCAGAGACTGCTGGTGAGAATGTAAAAAGGTGCAGCCACTTTGAAAAAAGTTTGGTAGTTTCTCAAAAAATTAAACATAGAGTTACCGTATGACCCAGCATTTCCACTCCTAGACAAAAATGTTCACAAATGTTCATAACAGCATTATTCATAACTAGAGGCCTGGTGCACGAAATTCATGCACGGAGGGGGGGGGGGGCTGTGTGTCCCTCAGCCCAGCCTGCATCCTCTCAAATCTGGGACCGCTCGAGGGATATCCAACTGCCTGGTGGGATCAGGCCTAAACAGGCAGCCGGACATCCCTCTCACAATCCGGGACTGCTGGCTCCCAACTGCTCGCCTGCCTGCCTGCCTGATCACCCCCTAACTGCTAACCTGCCAGCCTGGTCCCCCCCAACTGCCCTCCCCTGCCAGCCTGGTCCCTCCCCAACTGCCCTCCCCTGCCGGCCATCTTGTGTCTACATGGGGGTGGCCATCTTGTGTGTTGGAGTGATGGTCAATTTGCATATTACTCTTTTATTAGATAGGATAGCCAAAAAGGGAAGTAATTCAAATGTCTATCACCTATCAGTGGATAAACAAAATGTGATATCCATACAATGAAATACTATTTGGTCCTAACAGGAATGAAGTATTGATACATGCTATAACATGGATGAACTTTGAAATCAAATGCTAAGTGAAAGAAGCCAGCCACAAGACCATATATTGTATGATTCCATTTATATGAAGTGTCCGGAACAGGCAAATCCATTGACAGAAAGTAGATCAGCAGTTGCTAGCAGCTAAAGGGAGGGGGGAATGAGGGAGTATTAATGGGTACAGGGTTTCTTGTTGAGGTGCTGAAAATGTTCTGGAATTAAGACAATGATGATGGTTGCACAATTCTGTGAAAGCCAATGAATTGTACATATTAAAAGGGTAAATTTTAATGGTACATGAATTATACCTCAATAATGCTATTATTTTAAAAAGTAAAAGTAATACAATATGGAAAAGCAAGTTGAAAAGCAGTATAAACAACAGAATACACATATATTTATATTTGTATATATGCATATATGCACAGAAAAATACATCAAAGATTAATAGCAATTATTTCTGGGACTAGAGGCAACTGTTTTTTCATGGTATTTTTTACCCATTTTCTAAAATCAGTATGTATCACTTTTGCAATAAGAGTTAAAATTTTATTTTTTAAAATGGGGGGAGGGTGTTTCAGAAAGCCAAAGCAGTTGAGAAGTCACAGAGATCAAGCCTGGCAGAAGTATTTCCTTCAACCCTGGCACTTTCTGAGCACCACACAAAACAATTTAATCTCACGGGCTCCCTGTCCTCTAGAATTTCTCAACAAAACAACACTGACACCAATAATACAGGAATTACAGATACCTATATTGTACAACAGTTCAAGTCATAAAGCTGAAGCATAAATTAGATTGTGCACACCCCAGGGGCATACGGCGATGACAAAGGAAAGGGCTGACAAGACATAAGAGTTGTGGCACAACATGTGCTTTTTATCTGTAAGCCAGACTCAAAACACAAAGAACCTCTGTTTTCTTTTTTAAATGTGAAGAATAAAAGGATACCCAAATTGTCTACTGCCCAGAAATATTTTCTAGAGTCTTAGAGTTCCTATATTTAAACCAAATTACTTTATTTTAAATTTACTTTTTTTTTTTACTTTTTGAAATAACAGCATAGGAGAGTAGCATAGTACCTAAGGGTACATAGTATGTAAAACAATAACTGGGTTCAAATCTCTGGCTCTGCCACTAATAACTAGGAAGGAGATCTTGAGCAAGTTCTCTAAGCTTTCATTTCCTTATCTGTGAAATGGGGATAATAATACAAAGGATGAAGTAAGATAATGACTATAAAGGGCTTAGCATGGTACCTGGCATAGAGAGAGAGCTCAATAAATCAAAATTATTATTATTACTTCAGGAGGAAAGCATGCTCACTGTAGAAAAGGAGAAATGAATATCTAATAAAATTGGAATCATACTGTTTTGTAATCTGCTTTCTTCGATTTAGCAATATATTGTATTGTGAACATCTCTCCCTGTCAGTTTATATATTTCTACCCCATTCTTTTTAGTGGCTGCAGAGCAGCTATAGAATATTTCATAATTTATGGTGACCAATCTCCCATTATTAGACATGATGTTGTTTCCAGTTTTTCTGCTATTATAAAAATACTTTACTGGACACCTCTTTCTTTGTGCATGTCCTTAATTGTTTCCTAGAAATGGAACTGTATTCAAGCAACATTTCCTAATGGCAACTGAAAGCTGATGCAAAAGCTCAGGAGTGGGGCTCCTGAGTTGAAATCTGGGATAACCTGGGACAAGGTATTTCCCCAAGGAAATGAGATGAAAGCAGGGTATTAGGAGGTGCAGGGGATCACCGGTCAGAGAAGAAGAGTGGGTGGGTTGTGAGAGATTCCAGGTCAAGGGAACGGCTCAGTGAAGGACCAGACAGACGCCCCTCGGCATGGGCAGGCACGTACACTCGTGGTGGGATTCCCAGGAGGGATCTGCGCCAGCCCGCCCAGCCTGGGCTCTGAATGACCCCGGGTTTGCAGCTGCCTTCCCGCTAACTGACGTGCCAGCAGCAGCTGCTCACCTCTCTGTCAACTCACTGCAGTGCTGGGCTCTGCGGTTTGATGTTCAAATATACGGGGAAAGCAATTCCAGAAACCAAATATGACTGTCCCACACACTTCTCCACCATTAAACAGTAAATGCAAAATTTGGAGGACAAGCTCTGGGGTCCCCAAAGACTGTCCCTGTGTGAAGCCATGTCAGCCTGGAGGGGAGCTCTCTGCAGATGGGAAGCAAATGGATTCAGGGGATCACAGTGCTGTTTCCTCCTTCTGAGAATTCCTACAACCTCCAGCTCAGCTCCAGGGTATGCACTTTGAGAGAAAGGCACGATGAACTAAAGCCAGTCCAGAGGAGCAAGAAGGAGGTTGTTAGAACCACATCAGAGAAGGGACAGCGGAAGGCCCTGGAGGCATTTCTCTTGGAGAAGAAATTTGAGGAAGGCATGAAGCTGTCCTCTTGAGAGAGGAAGAGAAATTAGTGTTGAGCCACCACGACCCTCTAGCCTTCCAGTTACATCACTGTGAAACCAGCTCTTTATAAACCTCACCCCTTCCCGAAACCACAGCTCCCTAAAGGGAGTCTGTGTATGAGTCACTTCTGAGGCACCAGCAACTAACACACGGCCAGGACACAGAAAATGCTGAACTGAAAGAGGAAATGGCAGGAAGGCCTATTGTGGGTCAAGAAAGGGAAGGGCTTTCTAACAATCCCCATTGCCTCCCACAGGCCAGGATGTTTGGGAGAACGCTGTCAGCGAAGGGTCCGGTAGCAACAGAATGCCCTCACGCTAGCAGAAGGATGCAGAACAAAATGGCCCCGAGATTTCTTTCAATTCTAGGACCCAGTCTCCTCAAGCAGTGAGGGGAGCCACAAGCAGAGAAAATACACCAACAACGTGCCAGGCACACACATCCAGTCACTATCTTGTTAACCCTCACAATCCCGGGAGTAGGCATTATTATTATTACCATTTTACAGTGGAGAAACCTGAGGCTCGGAGAGGCTCAACAACTTGCCAAGCCATTGACCCAGTAAGAGGTAGATCTGAAATACTAACCAAGACCACCAGGCTGCCACCGGGGCTGAGAGAGAACTTCTGCCTTCCTGGCCATGCAGAAGGCAGCTCCAGCCCTTTGCAGCTGAAGGCTCTCCAAGGACAAGAGTTATTACCTGGCTTCATCTCCCCCTGATGCCAAAACTTTCCAAAAGCACGTTTACATCTATTAGCCCAAGAGCCCTAAGCCAACAGATCAGGTTTCCCTGAGCCCAGCTCTAGGGAAACACAGCTGGTCTAGAGCCATTTGTTCTGTGGGAGCCCAGCGGCTGCCCTCCTCTCTTAGACCCCAACCAAGGAACACAAGATGCTATGGGAGGGGTCTGGGAAGTCTCCCCTGAAGGAAGCAACATCTGAGCTAAGCCTCAAATGATGAGCCGGACAAGCGAGGGAGCAGTGTGGGGCAGCAGAGGGGAAAGGGCATTCCAGACGCAGGAAACAGCAGAGGCAAAGGCAAGGAAGCAAGACATGCGTGGAGAATCACAAGCAGTTCGGTTGCCAGAACATAAAACTCAAATTGAACAGTGGAAGGACGTGGTGACCAAAGAGGCAAGCAGGGGCTGATAAATTATGAAGGACTTTGAATGCCATGTTAAGGAATCCGGACTTGATTTATCCTGAGGGCAATAAGGAGCCAATGAAGGGTTTTACACAGGGCGGTGATAAGATCAAACCTCTGCAGATGAGGCTGAGCTGTGGCAGTGAGACCGGAGGCGTGAAGGCGGTGTGGAGTGATGCAGGGGAGAGATATGCTGGGCCTTGGCTGGCGTGTACTTCAAGGCTCCTGCACCATAATCCCGAGTCAGGGCCCAACCTTCCATTCTCTGGGCCCCTAATCCTACTCACACTGCCAAGGACCCAGGCCTACCCTACAAGCTACTAATTTTAGGGAGCCTCCCACACACCTTCCTTTAATGATATGACTCTAGGGAGAAAAATAATGCTAATCACTAACCTCACTCCATTCCAGGCACTATGCTGGGTCCTTAACACAAACAATCTCAGTTGTGCAACCAACAACCCTTTGAGGGAGGTTCCTATCGGTATCCCCGTTTTTGCAGAAGAGGAAACTGAAGTTTAGAGGGGGTTGCGTGCCAAAGGGCATCCAGCTACTAAAGGGAGGAGTCAGGATGTGAACCGACTTCTGCCTGGCGGCAGGGGCTGCTCTGTGGAGAGTAGAGAGAAGGGAGGGATGAGGGTTCTGTGTCCCGGGCTTCCGCGAAGTCCCCGGGGGGAAATAGTGGGCGGAACCAGAAAGGCTAGACGTGGGAAGCCAGATCCCAAACAAAGGAATCAGAAGGGTCCCTGCCCTCCCGCCTTCAGCTACCAGGAGAAAGACAAGAGCGTGGCCTTGAAAACTCCGATTGAAAAGACCAAAAAAAAAAAAAAGGGCCCCAAAAGAGCAGAGGACGCAGGGAAGGGAAGAGGCTCCGACAGGTTGAGCGCCCGGGGGCGGGGCTTACAGGGGGGGCGGAGCTCTCTGAGCCAAACCGAGTC